AATCCATCGATATACTATCCTATTTCCACTCCGGAATGTCCAACGGTTGCATCAATCCACTAAGCTTTTGATGTTCCACCTTAGACTTTTGACAAGTTAAGCATGAATACACAAACTTAGCTACATCCCTCTTTAATCCGGACCACCAAAAGATTTTCTTCAAATCTTGATACATTTTATTCGCTCCCGGATGAATACTTAAGTTACTTCGGTGTCCTTCTTCCAATATCATATTTTTCAACTCCGCATCATCGGGAATACAAATACGACCACGGAATCTCAAAACTCCAAAATTATCAACCTTGAAATCCTCATTCTCATTCATCATTAAATCAACGAACTTCAAATCCAACTTTTTCTTTTCACATACGGTTGCAAGAAAGTCATTCGTAATATGTAGCATACCAAGTCTCACACTTACCGACGTCATTTCATAAACTAAACTCAAGTCTCTAAAATTCTCCAAAAGTTCCCATTCTCTCATCATCAAGGTAGACACATGTAACAACTTTCGACTCAAAGCATCGGCCACCATGTTTGCCTTACCCGGATGGTAATTCAAACCAAAATCATAATCCTTCAAAAGTTCTAACCACCTTCTTTGTCTCATGTTCAATTCTTTCTGATCAAATAAATATTTCAAACTCTTGTGATCACTAAAAACTTCAAATCTTGCTCCATAAAGATAGTGCCTCCAAATTTTCAAAACAAACACCACGGCCGCTAACTCCAAGTCATGCGTAAGATAATTCTTTTCATGCACTCTCAATTGTCTTTAAGCATAAGCCACAACTTTTCCATCTTGCATCAAAACACCACCTAAACCTGTCAATGAAGCATCACAATAAACTACAAGCGGTTCTGTCGGATTCGGCAAAATCAAGATTGGCGCCATTGTCAACCTTCTTTTTAGCTCAATGAAACTCTCTTCACAATTGATATCCCAAATAAGTGCCTTTCCTTTACAATTCAATTGCGTTAATGGAAGTGCCAACTTCGAAAATCCCTCAATAAACCTCCGATAATAACCCGCCAAGCCTAAAAAGCTTCGAATCTCCGTAACCGATCTAGGAGTCTCCCATTGCATCACCGCATCAATCTTGGATGGATCAACACTAATACCACTACCGGAAATAACATGTCCAAGAAAACTTACTTCCGACAACCAAAATTCACATTTCGACAACTTAGCATACAATTGCTTCTCTTTCAAAATTTGCAACACAATCCGCAAATGCTCTTCATGCTCCTCTTAAGACTTAGAGTAAATCAAAATATCATCGATGAACACAACCACAAAATGATCTAACTGTTCATGAAAAATACGATTCATGTATTCCATAAACACACCCGACACATTAGAAACCCCGAATGGCATCACGGAATATTCGTAATGGCCATACCGTGTCCTAAAAGCCGTCTTTTGAATATCCTCTTCTTTCACACGAATCTGGTGATACCCTGATCTCAAATCAATCTTGCTAAAAACACGCGCACCAACCAATTGGTCCATCAAATCATCGATCCTTGGAAGCGGATACTTGTTCTTAATTGTCACCTTGTTCAATTGTCGATAATCAATGCATAACCGCATACTTCCATCCTTCTTCTTTACCAACAATACCGGAGCACCCCAAGGAGAAACACTTGGCCTTAAAAATATCTTGTCCAACAAGTCATTCAATTGCTTCTTCAATTCTACCAACTCCGATGCTGACATACGATACGGTGCCATCGAAACTTTTCTAGTACCCAGAACTAGATCAATAGAAAACTCAACTTCTCTTTCCGGCGGTACGTCCTTAATATCCTCCGGAAATACTTCTGGAAAATCACACACCACTGGGAACACATCGAGTACAACTTTACTCTCCACCGACAATGATGCAAACAAACCGAACAATTGAGCTTTGTCCGCTAAAAGTCTCTTCAACTCTTTAGTGGATAGGAAACTCTCAAATTCATCATCTCCCAAGGAAGGAAACCTCACTAACTTGTGATAGCAATCTATATGAACTCTATTAAATTGCAACCAGTTCATACCCAAGATTAGGTTGAAAAATAGCAAGATCATATTGTTTGAGAATATACGAGGAAGAGAAGAAATTTTTGAAGGATTTAGCGAGAAACATTAGTAAAATCAATATAAATACTTATTTGTGGAGATCGAGTTACCAAGTAGCTGAATATATGGTTATCATTGGCCATTTCATTGATTCTTGATGGAAACTCCAAAAAAAGTGTTGAGTATTGTGAAAGTTCATGCTTCAAAATGTGGGATTGATGCAACTGATGTAATTTTTAAGTGCTTGAAATCTTGGGGAATTGAGAATAAGATATTCTCAATTTTAGTCGACAATGCTTCTTGCAATGATTCATGCTTAAAAAGTTTGAAGGATGACTATCCACTAAGTAGAATGTCAGTTCTTGGCGAGGCATTGTTTCGTGTTAGATGTTGTGCACATGTACTAAATTTGTTAGTGCAAGATGGCCTTAGCCAAATTAAGGCTGTCATTGAAAAAGTCCATGAAAGTGTGAAGTATATTAACCCTAATGATGCAAGATTGAAAGCTTTCTGTGACGTAGTTTGACAAAAGGGGATGAAAGATAGGAAAATCATACTTGATTGTCCAACAAGATGGAATTCTACGTATCACATGTTATCCGCTGCATTGAAATTCAAGATTGAATTTACATCTTACAAGGAAAAAGAGCCACATTATAAATATGCACCTTCAACTGAAGATTGGGACAATGTTGAGAAAGTTTGTCATTTTTTTAAGTGTTTAATCTTGTCACTCTTGTTATATCAGGTAGTGAGTACCCTACTTCTAATCTATATCTTGTGGAAGTTTGGAGGGTGAAGCAAGTAATTGATAGAAGTTCCTTTATGAGAAAAATGGCATCACCTATGAAATTAAAGTTTGACAAATATTGGGGTGAATGCAATTTGTTGATGGTTATTGCTAGTGTTTTGGATCTCAAGTGCAAATTCCATATTGTTGACATATGCTTTCCATTGATATATAAAGCTTAAGTTTCTCAAGAGAATATAAAGAAGGTGAAGAATTCATTGGAAGAGCTATATGCTGAATATGTTTCTCTAAGTCAACAAGATTCATCTTCTAGTGAAGTTTGTACTGGTGGCATTAATTTATTATCATCTTCGACCTAATCTTAATCTTCAGTCATCACTAAATTCGACCAAATCATGAGCATTATGCGTGAAAAGGAAGCTATTCCCGTAGTGAAATGAGAATTACAAATTTATCTTGATGAAGGTGTTTATATTTCTGACGAAGATAATAACTCTTTTAATGTATTAGAGTGGTAGATGAACAGTAGCTTAAAATATAAGATCTTATCAAAGTTGGCTGCTAATATTCTAGATGTTCCTATCTCTACTATGATCTCAGAGTCTACTTTCAGTGCCAGAGGCAGAGTTATTGATGAGTATCACTCTAAACTAAATGAGGAATCTATAGAAGCACTTGTTTGTGGCGGGGATTGACTTTGTCACAAGTATAAGTTGAAACAAAAGTCAAAGATTAAAACAAGTTCTTTTTACAATGTATTGCATAATTCTTCTTACAAGTATAATTTTTAAATGTATTTTCTTATTTTAAAGATGGCGGTTGAACAATGTGAGAAGATAACCTTGAAGATTTGAATATTTTTTTTTTTTATTTTTATGTTTAATGGTGTTTGGGTTGTTGCATTGTTGTTAATTTATTGTAACATTTTTTTTATGAAAGAAATGTTGGATTTGAGAATGATGAAGATATGATTAATGTTTGATGGTAGAGTTTTAAAAGCAGAAATATATGATAGACTTGGTCTTTAGTTAATATGTTCAGGAAAATTTGTTCAGTGAACTTGGTCTTTAGTCTAGAATTTTTGTAATTTTTATTTTATTTTTTTGTATTTTTCATTCAAAATTTGTAAAGAGATTTTGCTTTAAAGCAACTTTTGAGTTGTTGATTTGAAGCGAGTTTGAATGGTTTTTCATGTTTTGAAGTGAGTTTTAATAAATTAATTTTTGTGTTATTTTCTATATTCAATTATCATTTGACTATACAGTTAAAGGGATTTGTTTAAGTAAATGTAGTAGTTTGTGTTTGGTAAAAATACCCACATACAAATTTAAGACATGATCTTGCTTTGTACATGCTCTTGACATTTATGATGAATATGTGATTAACTAAATTTAAATAATAATTTCATAATTTAAATTTAACCAATTTAAATAATAAATTTCAATTATTATTTATAATATATATGAAATTTATAATTTTAGAGTTTATCAATAATTTTTTTAGTTAGATTTTTAACTCATTATTACTTCATATTATAGCAAGGTCTGTATTTATAATAATCTTACAATAAATTAATAGGTCAGACCAAACAAAAATTAAAGCTTATAATAAATAATAAGTTATGCTTAAACTTTGAATTTGAAAAATACACAAAATCTATTTATGAAAAATCTGGTCTAACCTGACCTACTTTCACTTCTACTAGTACCGATTGATTTTTTTTAATACAATTTATCATAAACCTAATAATAAATTGTTGATTTAGAAAAAAAAAAAGAAAAATCTACTAACATCTATGAGAGCAGTCCACGCAGAACATGACCAAAAACGCAGACGCCGTGACACACCTTTCTCCCGCTCAACCTCATTTGAAAATCCGTTAACGCGGTGGACCAGACCCGGTCGAAAACCCGTCAACGCGTAGCCCATTTCTCCACACCGCGGAAACTCACATGGGCTTTATCGGGTAAAAAACCCGATCCCTTTTTTTCTTCCCATTTTTTGAACCGTTATCCACAAAAAGAAACACCACGTGGCGTTTTCTCAAGTCACCTTCATACCTATCTCACTCTTCAGTCTTCTTCTTCCACCTCCTCACTGAAACCAAAACAACACACACCAATTCTCTAACAGCATGTTACCGCGTAACCGTTTTCTGAATCACTGAAAACCGCTTCTAACAAAATGACCCATTCACTTTCACACTCTCTCCACCTACCAAACCCCTCCCCTTTCATCCCCACACTCCTCGACCCAAACACCACCTTCCGGCAACTCTGTTTCCCATCCACCGTAACTAAAACCCACCGGAAACTCCAATTCAAAGCCCACGCAAAGCCCAGAGAACTCATCCTCGGAAACCCATCGGTAACCGTAGAAACCGGAAAATACAGCTACATCGTCGAAGCCCTAATCAACCGACTCAGTAGCTTGCCTCCACGTGGCAGCATGGCTCGTTGCCTTGAATCGTTCACGAACAAGCTTACGCTTAATGATTTCGCTCTTGTGTTCAAGGAATTCGCTCAGCGTGGAGATTGGCAGCGCTCGCTTCGTTTGTTTAAATACATGCAGAGACAGATTTGGTGTAAACCGAATGAGCATATTTGCACGATTATAATCACTCTTTTGGGTAGGGAAAGTTTGTTAGATAAGTGTCGCGAGGTGTTTGATGAAATGCCTAACCAAGGAGTTCCTCGAAGTGTGTTTGCTTATACTGCGGTTATTAATGCTTATGGTCGTAATGGTCAGTTTCAGACTGCACTTGAGTTGCTTGATAAGATGAAACAAGAGAGGGTTTCTCCTAGTATATTGACTTATAATACTGTTATTAATGCTTGTGCTAGGGGTGGGTTGGATTGGGAGGGTTTGTTAGGGTTGTTTGCTGAAATGAGACATGAAGGGATACAACCTGATATTGTAACTTATAATACATTGCTCAGTGCTTGTGCTCACAGGGGGTTAGGTGATGAAGCTGAAATGGTGTTTAGGACTATGAATGACGGTGGGGTTGTTCCGGATATTAATACTTATAGTTATCTTGTTCATACATTTGGTAAGCTGAATAAACTTGAGAAGGTTTCGGAGCTTCTTAGGGTAATGGAGTCTGGTGGTAGTTTGCCGGATGTTAGCTCTTATAATGTTCTGTTGGAGGCCTATGCAGAGCTGGGGTCCATCAAAGAATCGATTGGGGTGTTTAGGCAGATGCAGGAGGCGGGGTGTGTGCCGAATGCGGCCACTTATAGTATTTTGTTGAATTTGTATGGAAAGCATGGGAGGTATGATGATGTTCGCGATCTTTTTCTTGAAATGAAAGTGAGCAACACTGACCCTGATGCGGGTACTTATAATGTTGTCATACAGGTCTTTGGGGAGGGTGGGTACTTTAAGGAAGTTGTCACTTTGTTTCATGACATGGTGGATGAAAATATTGAGCCAAACATGGAGACTTACGAAGGTTTGATATTTGCTTGTGGCAAAGGAGGGCTTTATGAAGATGCTAAGAAAATTTTACTTCATATGAATGAAAAGGGAGTAGTTCCGAGTTCCAAGGCTTATACTGGGGTGATTGAAGCATATGGGCAGGCAGCTTTGTATGAAGAAGCACTGGTTGCATTTAACACAATGAATGAAATTGGAAGCAACCCAACTATTGAGACCTACAATTCACTTGTTCGTTCATTTGCAAGGGGGGGACTGTACAAAGAGGTAGAAGCAATTTTATTCAGGATGGGTGAGTCTGGTTTATCGCGAGATGTGCATTCATTCAATGGTGTGATAGAAGCTTTAAGGCAAGCAGGTCAATATAAAGAGGCTGTAAAAGCTCACATTGAGATGGAAAACGCAAACTGTGATCCTAATGAGTTGACCCTTGAAGCACTGTTATGGATATACTGCTCTGCTGGTCTTGTTGACGAGAGCCAGGAGCAGTTTCAAGAAATTAAAGCTTCAGGAATACTTCCCAGTGTTATGTGCTACTGCATGATGCTAGCTCTTTACGCAAAGAATGATAGGTAAACATTCTTTCATTTATAGTGTAGTGTTTTTTCTGTTATATTTAAATTGTTTGAATGCTTCTAACACTAATTGGGTGCTTATAATCAATATGGATCATGCGTAATAAGATTCTCTTTCTCACGGCAGAATTTTTTATTTGATCGGTATTTTTGGTCACATTAAATTTCAATCTTGGTCTTAGTTTAAGGCAAGAGTGGGAAAAGTTGGGTGCCTTTTTTTCGGTACTGGTTTACTTGAATGATTGAATGTATGAAGCAATGTTGCTAATCTGGTTAACCTTTGATATTTTGTATATGGGGCAAAGTATCCTTTGCACTCTATATTACATCTCATGCTTATAAAAAAGAGGATCTCAATCACGCTCCACCAATAAGATTGTGAAATAATTAGATCAAATATCAGATGAAATAACACTTGTGTAATGATGACATTTAAGGACTTATTTGGTTTGTGAAAACATTTTGTTTTTATTTTCCATTTTCACCAACAATTACAAAGTGATTCTTGTTTTTAAAGATTTGTATAAGAAATAATGAAAACAATCTTGTTTTTAAAGATTTGTATAGGAAATAATGAAAACAATTTTAACTGTTCCTTAAACAATTCTTAGAAATCATGAAACAAAGTGGAAATGAAATGTCATGTTTGCAATTAATAGCAAAATATAGAACATTCTTGTGGCAAATATGGTCCCAATAAATGATAAAGAAGAACTTCATGTAACAGTACGATTTGTAATTATGCTCACCCGCCGATACACTTCACAAAACAAAATTATATCCTAGTGTACTTGTATTCATTGAACTTGTGAGTATTGCTCACGACTACTCAATTTGCATGGTCTGTCAATCCTTGTGCATTTCAGTTTGCTTTGCATATTTTATAAACAAAAATGATAAAATGACAGAAATGAAAATTATTGAATTCTGAAGAACAAGCAAAAATAAATTGTAACAAAGAAGAAATAGAAAAATATGGAGATGAAATAAATGGGGTGGTGTCAGACCCTTGATTTTATGGAGAAAGAAGTGATAAGCCTTGGGGAATAATCACCACACAAAAACTTGTTTTCTAGGTAAGATTAAAGGGCTGGTTGAATGAAGAATCCAAAGAGAGAGACACTCTTAACATGGAAATACTCCCAAGTTTTTCAACAAATCCAAGCTTCCTTTATCGAGTGAGTTGCTTGATTCTTCTTGTCAAGCACATAAGGATCACATCAATTACTGTTCTGGTAACGTGAGTCTCAGACTTTTGACAATTTTATATGTAGAATTGCCGTAGAGCCTTATCTCAGGAGGCACCAAGTCCCTTTGTTAACTACTGGTTGTGGCATTTAATCCCTTAATCCCTGCTGAGGTGCTTTACCTGCAGTAGGTATAAACCTCCTCCATGACTAAAATTAAAACAATTCAAGTATGGACTATGAATGTCTGTTCCATTATATCACTCAGATTCACAATGTTGCCTGCGGATTATTGGGGTTGTTGGAGCTTGGTCAAACCTCCCTTGTCGACCCCTTAAGGGGGGTGTACCTGCAAATACTCCAACGCCCAAGTCAGTGACGGCCGTAAGTGAGAGGTATTTAGGGCTAGAATAATGTGTACTTAAAGAGGTGATGATGTTAAGCTTATATAGCTTTGAAGATGTGGTACTGGGCTTGGGTTGGCCAAAAGCCCAGTCCGGAACAATGGCCATCATAATTCAAGGTCTAACAACAAAAGTTACCTGTGATGTAACTTTTAATGACTTTTTGCACATTTAAGCGCTGATTATATCATTTGTAGAGCCTTTTCCATTTAATTGTGAATGGGGAGCAGTTTATTGTTTTTTACTTCTCTTTGAAATTTTATATCTGATTCTTGTGTAAAGTAAAGACCATATTAAATTTGGGTCTTTGATTTAACTTTGATCACCTATTAACTGGGTTTTACTTCTAACTTTTTTGATTTCAGGTCAGATGATGCCAATAATCTAATCAATGAGATGGTCACAACAAGTGTGTCGGATATTCATCAAGTGATTGGACAAATGATCAATGGAGATTTTGATGACGAGTCTAATTGGCAGATTGTGGAGTACATCTTTGATAAACTCAATTTTAAAGGATGTGGAATTGGAATTGTGTTCTACAATGCACTATTAGAAGCTCTTTGGTGGATGCACCAAAGAGAAAGGGCTGCCAGAGTGCTCAATGAAGCATCAAAGCGAGGGCTTTTCCCTGAACTTTTTCGTAAAAATAAACTCGTGTGGTCTGTGGATGTACACAGGTATAGTGAAAATGAATCTTTTTTAAACTTATACTACTCCTTAATGAAGGAAAACAAACACAGCCTCTACGAAGTTAGGGTTTAGAACCTACAACTTTCAATTCAAGCAAATTAACCTCTTCCATTTTGTGTATTCTCCAGAAGCATGAGTTGATTTTGAGTGGTTAATTTCAGTTTCTAAATTCTTATTTATCAATCCCTATATCAAAGCAAGCAATCGGATAAATTGGTAGTAGAAGAAGTCCAAGAATTGCAATACACATGAAATGACTAGCAAGTGGATAAATATAATATAACTATCAAAATCTTTTTCAGTTTCAAGGAGGCTTAATTGTTGAAATTGAAAGTTGAGAAGTCTAATTTCTTAGTCTCCAAAATGCGATGGTTTTATGCATTTTCATTTTTAGTGAATTATGTGAAACTAAAGCTTGATTGTCATGTAGGATGTCTGAAGGTGGTGCATTAACAGCATTGTCAATTTGGTTGAACGATATGCAGGAGACGTTCATGACTGGCAAGGATCTTCCTGAACTTGCAGCCGTTGTTGTGGCGTAAGTTGCTTTAATATCTAAAAACTATTTCTTTTATCTTATATGTTTTCTTTACCACACACCATTGATGTTATAGAAATGATGTAAAACTGGTCTGCGGGCGTACCATGTCTGACCCACCTAGGTTTTTAATAAGCGGACAAAGACAATGCATTGATCTGCATTACTTTTTTTTAGTAAAACGGTTGTCTAGCACCTGATTTTGATCACCAGATAGAGCTTTCTAACAACAATATATTTTTCCCATTTAATCAGTCGGGGTAAAATGGAGGAAAGTACAGATGCCCAAGATTTTCCCATCGCAAAGGCTGCATTTTCATTCCTGCAGGATAATGTCTCATCCTCTTTTACATACCCCGCATGGAACAAAGGTCGCATTGTTTGTCAGCAGTCACAACTCAAGCGAATTCTATCGGGCACGGGATCATCTTCAAGTAGAAAAGAAGTGGACAAATTAGTATCTTTAAGTAATAGTTCATTGACTACTGCAGGAGCTATAACATCCAAATCTGATGTTCAAAGTGGTAGAGCTAATGATGTTGATTCTAGAACCAATAGTGCTAGAACAAAGCTTCTAATTAGTGCAGTTTAGATTAGAGCAATATAGAAATTATATTCTCCACTTTTCCACACCCTGTCTGGGTTTATTTGAAATTAGGATTGGGGCTGGTTTTCTGGTCTACAAAGTTTTGGTAAATATATTCTCAAGGTAGTATTTGTTTATTGTTTCTGCACTGTAGACACCATAAATAAATACAACTTACTAGGTTGAGTTCAATCATATTACCTTTAAATCTATGGAGTTTTTTTTTTTCTTCTCTTGGAGACACTGTTGTTTTAACTAGGAAATTATTGTATCTATTAAAACCATTTTTTCATCAGTGATTCTAATGTTTTTATTCCCACCACTTAAAATGAGATTCTATTCTACAACAGTTTCTGGTATCGGAGTTATTCAGTTTTTTTTTTCTTTAGTAATTCTACTAATAATGTTATTTATGTTGTGTCTGCTCATCCATCTTAAAAGGCAATTTATCTTGCTAACACATTTCTATTCCAACTTGATTATGATAGACAAAAAGGCAAACTCTGCTTGCTAGCACTCGCTGCTCTAAAGTATCCAACATTGTTGTCATGCATAATTTATATGCAGACTGAACGATATACTATTCGTGTGAGCTCGGATGCCACACTATTTTACCATCATCAACATAATCGGATAAAGGAAACATTAAGTGCAACAAAAGTTTACGGGCTCCAATTTTTTTTTAACGGCAAACTAATATTGAATAAAGGAGCTACTGAAAATAGAAAAACCAAAACAAAAAATTAGACAAAACGCAGCCTTACAAACAAGCCTCCTAACCAAGCTCAACAATCGTCAGAAAGAAAAAGGAGAGAATATCAAAAGCATCCCAACCAAGATGCAACCGCAAACTTTAGTATTTCAAGCCCTAAAATACAGCTACTAGTTCGGGCACAAGACAAGATATGTCAATCACTTTGAGAAAGGGCAGAATGCAGAGGAAGTCTTACCGAGATGCCATTCCCAAAAATAAAATAAAAAAGCCACGTTCACCAATTTCTTCGTAGTAGATGTCACACTTGGGTCAATACTACAAAATATTACACTAAGGTTAAGCCAGTTCTAACTCTAGAAGAAGTTACAAGCTAACAACATAAAAAATAAAAAAAAAACATGTCTAAAGTCTGGGATAAAATCAATTCTCAACCTAACCACCTAAAAATACTATAACAAAGAGAAGCCGCCACATTACATGTGACAAAAAGGTGTGAAGAAGTTTTTGCAAAACACCAACAAAACACACTAGATACCATGTTAGGAATCCAATTTAAGAGAGAAAAGAAAATGGATAATTAATGATAAAAAAACTATATACAAAATAAATTTTCTATAATCCCATAGCGAAGTTCCTTAAGTTCTGTTTGGATTGATAGAGACAGATGAAATGGAATGTAGTTATGTTCTATTGTTTGGATTTACAAAAATTGAATGAAATAGAATGGAGTATGATGAAACACATTTCATCCAATGTCACTATTTAGTCTCATTTTTCATTCCCCATATTGGGGTGTATCCAATGGAATATAATCAATTAATAAAACAATTACAATTTTATCCTCCAAATTTTCACTTTTATTATTAACCATTCCTATTCCTTATTTCAATCAACGTGATATTTTTCTATTCATTCACTGCAACTTTTCTCCTTCACATGTCTTGCTTGCAAAGAGTCTATCTTTCTTCTACCCTAACAAGGTACATCATATTTCTTCTCATTTTTTATCTGTATTTATATGTGTGTTCTATTAAATTAAATATCTTGATTTATCTTCATGTTCATGTCTTTTTCATTTTTCAGAAATCAGGTATAGTTACTAAAAACAAAACCTAAAATTGTGATTTATGTTGCTTTATAGTGTTGTGTATGTTAAATTAACTTTTTATTAAATTAACTTTTTATTAAGAACAAAGGTAGAAATTAAATTTGTTGCAAAACTACTGTTCCTATTGCTTTTCACTACTATTCACGTTGATCGTATTCTTATTATGTATAGAGAAAAACTAAAATTAGTTACTGTAACATAAAATTGGCTAATAATATTATGTAGTATAATAGGAAAATAATTATTAGTAACATAAGTTTTGATTTGCTATAAAGATTATTAATTAATTTGGGATTGAAATTATATATTTGATTTGTTTTAAAAATTCTTAATCTATTTGTTCTGATTTTGATATGATTTATTTTATTTGTTATAAATATTTTAATTTGATTTATTTGTATATAAATTTATAATTAGAGTAAATTTTACTGTTTAATTTGTTATAGATGACTAACGAAGACATAAGAATCAAGTATATGAAATTGATTCAAATGATGATTCTTCAAGTATCTATCATTATTGTTCTAATATGTTCGATAAAAAACAAGCGTAGAAGATCCCAAATACCTTATAGAATCACAGAGCACAGAGAGAAAGTTAGAAATGAGTTGATGAAACATATTGTAGGAAGTGAGCGATGTTATGATATCATTCGTATGAGTCCCAAAGCTTTCTTAAACTTGTGCACCTTATTACAAGATCAAGGTGGACTTACACATACACGAAGAGCGTCTATCGAAGAACAAGTAGCAAAGTTTCTTCATATAGTAGGACATAATGTTAGAAACCGTGTGATGTCTTTCTTTTTTAGACGCTCCGGTGAAACTGTTAGTCGTCATTTTCATAGAGTGTTAGATGCTTTGATAGAGGTGGAGGGAAAAATTTTAATACAACCTGATGGAACACAAGTGCCTCCGCAGATACTTAACAACCATAGATTCTACCCGTATTTTAAGGTAAACAATTTTTTTTTTGTCTTATACAAATGTTGATTAGTTTTCTTGTACACTTTTAATATATAAATTTAATGTCAGGACTGTATTGGAGCAATTGATTGCACGCATGTGTGTGTTAAAGTTCCAATAGAACTCACACCTAGATACCGTGGTAGAAAAGATTATCCCACACAAAATGTGCTAGTCGCGTGCTCATTTGACTTAAAATTTACATATGTCTTGGTTGGATGGGAAGGAACTGCTTCTGACACAAGAATAGTTAAGAGTGCGTTGGCACGTGCACACCCTCTTAAAGTTTCACAAGGTAATAAAAAGTAATAAAATATATTTGGGTATAAGTATTTAGATTAGCTAAACTAATGAACTCATTATTTTTTTAAGAAAATATTATCTAGGTGATGCGAGATTTCCTTTAAAAGCATGTCTCATTACACCGTATAGGGGAGAACGATACCACTTACAAGAATACTCTAGAAATCCACCTCGAAACCCTTGTGAGTTATTCAACCATCGACATTCGTTATTATGAATGTCTATTGAATGTGCATTTGGAGTGTTGAAGAAAAGATTTTCAATTTTATAAACTGCAACAGAGCCTACATTTGATATTAAAAATCAAAATAAAATCATCCTTGCTTGTTGCATTTTACACAACTATTTGATGGGTGAAGACTCCAATCAAACTCTAATTGATGAGGTGCAAGATGAGGTTGCAAACGAAAGAGATGTTCAAGAGGGTCATCAAGATCATAGAGAAGAAAACGATGATATGATTAGCGGAGAGTCAATTAGAGATAATGTTGTTGGTTCTATGTGGCTAGATTATTAAAATTATTCTTAATGATTTGTTACTCTTATGAATAATGTTTTGAAGAATTTTATTTGAATTGAATTTTTTATTTGTAATTTGTGGAATGAATTTTAGTGTATGATGAACCTTTACATTTGAATTTGTGAAGTTATTATATTCTTCATTGTGTTTTTTAATAATAGACATGAAAGCAAGTTTAAAGAGGCCGAGGAAATTCAAAAGTATAGAAACATGCAATTGGACAACTGCTATGGATGAAGTTTTGCTTGATGCATATTTGCATCAACAAATATTGGGAAATAAAAATGATAATAGTATGACAACAAGCGCTATGGATAACATTCTTAAAGAATTGAAGACTCACTTTCCGGACAAACCAATTTCCAAAGAAAAAATAAAAGATCACATGAAACACATCAAAACAAAGTTCAATTCTTGTTATGACCTTTTCCAGAATGGCTTGAGTGGGTTTGGATGAGATTCAATAACAAATATGTGGATTGCCGAAGATGAAGTTTGGAACAAACTGATTGAGATTTTATTTACTATAATTGTTTTATACACTTATCCGATTATTTTTATTTGAGTTCACTCATTAAAAACTTTTTAAGTGATGCATTGTTTCGTTTATTTTGGTGTAGGCAAAACCCGAAGCTACTGAATAGAAAAACAAGCCAATATTATTTTATGATAAATTGGCCAAACATTTTGGAAAAGATCGAGCAACAGGAGAACACGAAGGTACATCTGCTGAAATGAGAGAAAAAAAAGGTTGCAAATGTTGAAAAAAGTCGTGGCACAACCATCGAAGAAATATACCACTTAGTTGAAACCAATGAAGTTATTTTGGAGGGATTTGATGATGATGAACATCATTCCAACAATTCTCCTACAAGGCCTTCTATTATCAATTCTCAAGATGTATCATCATCTAGGACTAAGAAGTGAGTAAAGAAGGTTATTGAAGATGATACAAGCATGATTGAGATTTCCAAAACTTTTAAAAAAATGGTTGATGTGTTTGAAATGAATTCCATGGAGCTAGTCAAACAAAGTAAAAATGCTAATGGTGGAGATATTTGGGCTGAATTGGTCGAGATTGGGGTTGAACCAAGTTCTTTGCCTCTTGTATACATGTACCTTGTTAAGAATGTCGATGCATTGAAACCTTTTAATGGAATTTCAATCGATAAGTAGAAGGAAATGTTACATCTCATTGTTCCAGGCTATCCCTTTTGATAATGGTAACATATTTATTTATCACTTTTGAGTATTTTTTTAATCTTTAACGAATGAAATATTTGCGTAATTTATTTTCTTTTATTTTTGCAGGTTTTTTGGAATGCTTAAAGAAGAGAGTCATTATCTATTATGGATCAATATTTGTCTTTTTTATTAGCAAGACTTGATATCATT